TCATGAAAACAAACCCGGCTTTCCCCAAGCGGAAGGGGGGGGGGGGGTTAAGCCTGGAGGATGAGCCTGTGAAGGGTGGCGGACAAAGGTCTGACAGTGTGCTAGAGGGTCTGTGCTCTCCTCCCAAGGGGGAGAGGAACCTCAGCGGGCAACATGTTTGGAAGGGGAGCTGAGTCATCTGAACCCAGGTTTAGGGGTCTGAGCGAGGGCTGTGACCATCCCCAGCCTTGTGTGGCCCCAGGCGTGGAGGTAACTAATTGTCTGGTTTTATTATTGGTAAGGCACTTCTGAGAGGCCACAGGGGGAAGGTGAGCTGCTCACTGTGGCTGTGGCCCCTGCCCTGGGGGCCAGCGGTCCACTCACCCCATGGGCCAGCTGGTAGGTCTGGTTGAACTTCCACATCTCCTCCAGCACCAGGGCCACAGCCTCCGGGCTGGGCACCTCACCATGGAACTCGATGCCCATCAGATTGGCCATTCGGTGCAGGAGCCCTGGTACCTGTTGCAGCTGCTGGCGTGCATGTTCCACACGGCATGTCCAGGCGTGGTCGATGAGGAAGATGCTGCAGGCATGGGCTACACATGAGTCACCAAGCAGCCACGGCAATAAGGGGAAAGAGGGACAGAGGCAGAGAGAAGAGGCCCAGGACTGTGGCTGGGACCAGGTGCCTTTCAGGTGCCTCAGAAATCTTTCTGAGACTCGGTTTCCCCAGCACCACAGTTACATAGTTAGGGAGTTCAGGAGCCTCGTTCTGATGCCACTGCTCTGCCATTAACTCAGTGTGGCCCTGAGCAGGATCTTCTCCCTCTTGGAGTGCTAAAGCAGGGCAACAGGACCCTCCTTTTCCACCCTCCAGGTGGAGATGAGCGTCCTATGAAACCAAGGTCCAACAGGCCAGTCACGATGACGGCAAGTGCTCAGGGAAAGTGTTAGAGCCTGGTTTCCAGGTGCTGGGGACAGGCTCACACTGCCACTCTGCTCTATGCACACTTGGCACCAACAGGCATTCAGCAAAGGCAGAGGCTGCATATTCCAGGGGCGGCAGCAGGCAGGTAATCGAGGAGCTACAGCGCAGCACACACACGCACACCTAGGACCCCTGGACCCACCAAGGCCTCTCTGTGGTGGAGGCTTCAAGTCCTCCAGGTGCCTGCAGCCTCCACAACTGCCACAAAACCATGGTGGTTGGGGTACCCTCTCAACCCTGGCCACTGACAGGGTGGCCACCCCAGTAATCCATGCCACCTACAAAATGAAAGGAACAGCAAAGGTTCCAGTCCCCAGCTCCAGGTCAAGAATATCTCACTGTGCTTAGTTTCCTGGTTTGACGCTTTTAATGGGTGGCTTCTTCCTGCTCTTGCTTTCAGAGGTGCTGACGACACAATGCAGTGCAGAGCACTGTGTAGTCACTTGGGGATGACCAAGAGCACGTGACGAGGGTGCCATCCCCAGGTAGTGTGGAGTGAATGGGACAGAGAGCAGAGGGCCTGAAATGAACTCTTGGGTGGGTTTGTGATGGTTAGTGTTGTGAATCTAACAGAATCTATCATCTGGGAATGGGCCTCTGGATGTGCCTGTGGGGGACTATCTTGACTATGAGAATTGAAGTGTGAAGAGCCAGTTTAATTGTGAGCAGTTGTGGGGAGGGGCAGGAGATTCAGGGTGCAGAAAATGCAGAAAGCCAGTCTGTGGGTGTGAGGTGACCAGCTGCTCCAGGCCCCTCGCTGACTTTCCCACAATGGACCGTATCTTGAACTGTGAGCCTGAATAAACCCTTTCTCCCTCTAAGACCCTTTTCCCTTAAATTGCTTTTTGTCGTATCATAGTGACGGGAAAAGTAACCAAGACAGATTCCAGTCCAGGGTTCCATGCCAGCCCTGCCCTAGCCTGGTTGAGGAGTGGAATGAGATTGGGCTGAGAGAGGCTTGCCTCTGGGATGAAGTCACTCCAGGTTGGATCTGTGTGAATGCTGGGCGGGGCACTGCTCTGTCTTTAGCAGAGTGGCCTACCGGTGAAGGGGGAGGGAAAAGCTTAGAAGAAGACTCAGTGAAACTCAGGCCGGCTAGTTGCTTAAGGCCCCAACAAAGCCTTTGACAGAGGGGCCCACAGGCCTGCCCTGGTCCTTGGTCCTGGGAGACTCAGAAGTCCTGAGTCTAATCTGGCCTCTGGGCAACACCAGGCCCGCTTTAGGTATCCGGCCCTCCTGACGGCTGGAACCCTTCTCCAGAATTCAGCAGGCCTAGGGGAACACAGGTCCTTAGCGAAGGTGGGCTTAGGGGCAGGCTACACTCTAGCCAGATAGACAATCTCATATAAGTTTCCCCCCTGGGTCTGATTCCCTCTCAGGAAAACCAGGAGCCATAGTACCCCAACGGTGGAACTGTCAGGACATTGAAGTCACAGAGCATGATTCTCAGGGGACTGTCGACAGCACCAATGAAGCCAGGTGGAACGATGTCGGCCACCCACACGTCACAGCAAAGAGAGCCTGGGTGAAAATCTAAAATGAAGCCAGACCCCTCAGGTCCCAATGCCCAGCCTTGGGTCGGAGCTGCTGGGGTCCTACCTGTTGGGGTCGTTGGCCTGGAGCCCACTCTCACTGGTCACAATGACCTTGTAGCACAGTCCGCCCCCGGGGTTGGGCTGCTTCCTCTGACCTTCCCCGGCAGCCTCTTCCTCTGCTTCTTCTACCTCCTCTACTTGCATTATCCCAAACATTTCCCCAGCATCGAAAACCTAGGGCCAGAGCACAAGGAGCAGGGGTGTGGGTGGGAGGACCTCCCCTCACCCCTTCACACAGGCCGTAAGGATGAGAACTGTGGAGCAGGACCTGTGTACTACACAAGCTCTTGGCAGGAGAACTGAGACCTCTGGGCACATGCCAGGGTCCTAATCTGGATCACTCCCTCCTGTGCTGTCATCCACAGGACACCACGCTTCAGAAAAGGCACTGGGTGTCCATGGTGGAATTACCTGTAGTTTAGATCTCTTGTTTTACATGGGAAATGAGACCTCAAAGGCAGAGGGTGGCCCTAGTGGCCCTGGAAAGGAGTAGGGAGTCAGGATCGTGGTAGGCAGGGAGCATACTCTGACTTCCCTCTCACCAGAGCTACCCTAAAACCACGAAGCTGAGGAAACCCACAGGAGCCTCCCGACACCAGCACCAGCAGCAAGCATGGCCCAAGGGGGCCAGGGCAATTCTCAGGGCAGAGTATGAACAGTAAGAGCCTTGGTCCTTGGGTTTCCCAGCCCAGGGACAAGTCAGAGCCAAGGGCAGGTGGTGAAGCAAGCAAGTCTGCCTCTTCTCCCATGTTCCCTCCCAGCTCTGGCCATTCACACTGTACACCTGCCACGAGGCAGCAAGGTGTGTGTGGGGGGGACATGCGCGCGCTCTGGAAATCCACCTGTATGGTTGGAATCTTGGCTTTGCCATGTCCTATATTATGTGACCTTGAACAAGTTACTCAGCTACACTATGACTCAGTTTCCCCATCTGTACATCAGAGGATCTCAGAGGTTGTTAGAATAAGAGCAATGGTCCCGGGAGCACCATGAGTCACTTCTCTGAGACTCAGTTTCCTCACTTGTGAAAGTGGTCATCACCCACTTTCTGTAATCGCTGCAGGAATTAGATAAAATGGGACCTAACAGGGCTGGTTCCTCCCTGAACTGCCACCACTCTGGAGCAGCTGAAAGCCAGCGACCTATTCAGGCACTAACAAGCTTCCTGTGGCCAGAAGGACAGGGCTCTCTGGTGATGTGAGGATAAAGATGAATCATCTGTGATCTTGCCTGGAGCTGACAGCTGAGGAAGGGCTAGATCTGGGGAAGGCTCTGCAGTCTGGGAAGTCTGGGAAAGAGTTCTGGAGAAGGCAAAACCCATAGCTTTAGGATGCAGGCCAGGATGGGTGGGAAAGGCCCAGGAGAGCTGGTGAGATGGCTGGTGGGGTAAAGGCACCTGTTACTAAGCCTGATGACCTAAGTTCGAAGAAGAGAATCAACTTCCAAATGACTCTCTGACTTCCACACATGCACGCACATACACACACATACTAAATAAACACTATAAGAATTTTGAAAGAGCAGGGGGAGGAGGTTGTCATCATCCAGGGTGGAGACTGACAGGCCGACCAGAAGGTAAGGGGAGGTCTGTACTTTGGGGAAAACTCCCTGGTGAAGAATGAGCATGGCGCCTAAGACAAGACCTCCTTTGGCCCCTGCAACAGCTGGGGGCGGGGGGGGTAGGGGGCTGCCTTGCTCTCAATTAAGATGTGGGTGCTGGAACCCACAACCCAGACATCACCGGTCCTCCAACCCCCCGCCTTCCACCTCAGACCTTCTGGGGAACAAGCAGGCCTAAACTCAAGCCTGGCTTGGCTTCTCCTCTGCTGTGCCGTGGAGTGACACCTCCCCAGAACTCCTAGGGAGACAGAGCCAGTAGGAGTGACTGCAGCTGGGAGGAGCTGGCACTTGTTTTTAGAAACACTTCCTGTCTTTTCTGTGGCACTGATCCAAGGTAGGTATCAGGGGTGACCAGCTGGTAGGGGAGGGCGGCTCTCTGCAGGCAGGTGCCCCTGCTTACTCACTACTCTCCCTGGGCCTGGTAGCAGGTCTCACTCTGAAACAAGGACTTCAGGTCTGTATCTGACACTGTGGTGACTCAGCTCTGCCTTGAATGGCTCAGGAGGGCCTGGGGAGGGGGGTGGGAAACAATGGCTGTCCCTGAATTGGCCATAAACAGCCAGGTGAGAAGGGACAGGAAGGGACCCTCTATGTTCTGGGCACTGGCTAAAGCTTACTTTTCCTGTCATCTCCCAACCTCCCCAGTCCCAAGGGAACCAAGAACTTGTGTCTCTCCAGCTCTGCTTTTCATATGAGAACAAAGTTCAGATGTGGAGTGACCCGCTTGAGTGACTGTCTACTGCCCCTGGAAGCTAGCTGGGTGGGACCCCAGGGCACTCCAGACCTGTGTTCCTTTTAACCACAGGGGCACTAACAAACAAGGGTCCAATTCCACCTCAGCATTAGGCTTGGGATGGAGACAAGTCTGTAAAAAGTGGTGACACAAGGGAGGGCCAATCACGTTATCCAGTTACAAAACACACCCTTCTGTAAAGGAGGTCCATCAAGGTATCTTTCCTTAAGCCAAGTACAGCTGCCCCTTGATCTATGGTGGGGTTCTGTGCCCTGACCATACTCAAAGTGCAAAAGGCATTTAATACCCTAACCTACCACAGACTACAGCAACACTGGTCACTTTTCCCTCTCTCCATACTGACTAACAGTTGTAGCCCAGACACTGCCCAGGATCATCTACGTTGTATCACTAGCCTAGGAAGAGAGCAAACTTCAAACTCTGAAGTGCAGTAGTTCCACTGAATGCCCCAACCCTGGGGCATGCATTCTGTCAACCTAACAACGAGCTGTATCCCAGCCCCATCTAAGTTTTAAGCAGGAAGTATCTGGTCCATCAAGGAATACAGTGTGGAACTGGCAGAAAGTGGGGGGGAGGAGAGACACACACACACACACACACACACACACACACACACACACAGAGACTAGTCCGCAGCCAAGCTCAGGGGACGCCTAGCTCCTGGCTCCCGCTGGTCCCCTGCAGCCTTAGGTGGTCTCACCTGGGAGTGTCCTGAAGGGGGACCAAAGGCCCTCTCCGTCCAGTACTGCAGCTGCTGTTTTTAAGCATCAACAGTCAAGCCTCAGTTCTCAGTAGGAGCTAGACCCCGGGGCAAGCCCAGGTCAGAGCCTCAAATGGGGACCACAAGAAACTTTAAACCCCTTCCACCTCCCTTTAGCATTTCTTCTCCATCTCCCAGGGCGCGTGCACAGCAGGAGCCAAGCACACGCTCCCGGGAGGTTCCCACAGCGCTGCAGGATGCGGACCCGGAGCACCTCTGATCCCCGAGTCCCATCGCTGCCCTGAACCCCCAGGAGGCTCCGCATCCCCGCGCGCCCGCGGCTCCCGCACCTCGTGCTCCAGCTTGTGCAGCAGGCGGCCCCACAGCCGCTCCGGGACGCCCGAGGCGCGCAGCGCGGGGCCGTGCACCGCCGCGAACTCTGCCAGGGCCTGCGCGCTCGGGTCCTCGGTGCGGCGCCCCGGGCCGCAGCGCTCCAGGCCCGCCTCCACCTCCATGGTGCCCCGGCCGCGGTCTGCACCCTGCGCCGCCCGCCCACGTCCACGCCTGGGAGCGCCCCAGTGTGCGCAGGCGCGCGGGGGCGGGTCTTTTCCCATTCATTCCGGGACCGCCGCGAGGGATGCCGGGAGAGATGGCTAGAGCGTCCCACGTGGTCAGAACCGGAAGAGGTTGTTCCGAAGGGGCAGGTGGGGCTGGGCTGGGGGCTGGTGGAGGAGTGGTCCTCATCCACCAGCTACGTATTACATATACATTTAAATATATATTTAATGCATATATTTACATTTTAAAAAATTTTACGTGTATGGGTGTATTGCCTGCATGGATGTAAGTGCGCCCTTGTCATGCAATACCTGTGGAGGTCAGAAAAGAGCATCAGATTCCCCTGGAGTTGGAGTCACAGATGGTTGTTAACCACCATGTGGGTCTTGGGAATTGAACCCGTATCCTCTGCCACTGAGCCATCTCTCCAGCCCCTGTGTGAAGCTTCTAAATTGGATTCTGTCCTCTGGTTTTATGGGGGGGCACGAGGGATGGATGGGGGGCATTTTCATAGTCTGTGTTGTTATAAGACACGTTTGTATCCACACTGTAGAAAGGACTCAGTGGACACATGCCATGACACAGTTAACATGCACACACTAATAGTATTCTGTGTTATGAGACACATTTGTACTCCACACTGTAGAAAGGGCTCAGTGGACACATGCCATTACACAGTTAACATGCACACACTAATAGTAGTTGGTTTGCTCTAAGTTGACCCTCTGACTCTGGAGATGGACAAGGTTAATACCAGCAGACACTAGCTAGATTGGTGTTTTAAGAAGTGCCTGACAGGTGGAGCTCTGTGAGTTCTAGGCTAGCCTGGTCTACATAGGGAGGTCCAGGTCAGCCAGGAGTGAGACCCTGTTTTGAAACAATAACAGAAATCCTGCCTTCCATTTCATCTCCATCAGCAAGTTATTTGGAGTGGGGGATGGGGGAGAGGAGCAGGGTGACAATCATAGAGGTAGGTGGTCACCTACTCTCTCTCTCTCTCTCTCTCTCTCTCTCTCTCTCCTTCCTTCTTCCTTTCTTCCTTTTTTTCTTTCTTGACATGGACTCACTCTGTAGCCCTGACTGTCCTGGAACTCACTATGTAGACCAGGCTGACCTTGAACTCACAGAGATCCTCCTGCCTCTGCCTCCTGAGTGCTGGGATTAAAGGTGTGTGCCACACTCTTTTTTTCCCTCTCTTTCAATATTTATCTATTGTTGTGGGAGTGTGGATATGTACGTCTACACGCACGTGTGGGTGTGTGTGGGTGTGCCTCTGTGCATGTGGAGGCCAGAGGAAGGAGTGGAGTGCTCTCCTGCATCACTGTCTACCTATTCCTTTGAGGCAGGGTCTCTCCCTGAAACTGGAGTTCCCTTTTTCTTGGCTAGGCAGGAAGCCAGCAAACCACAGTGATCTGTCTTTGCCTTCCTCAGAGCTGGGGTTACAAGGCATTTCTGGGAAGTAGCTAGCCTGGAATTTACAAAGATACACCTGCTTCCCAACTGCTGGGACTAGAGGTGTGTGCCACCACACCCAGCAGGTTTTTTGTTTAGTTGGTTTTGTTTTTTTAAATTTTTTTGACTTATCTTTATGTGTATGAGTGTATCGCCTGCATGTAAGTGCACCCCGCCATGAGGGTGCTGGGAATTGAACCTGGGTCCTCTGCAAGAGCAGCCCATGCTCTTCACTGCTGAGCCATCTCTCCAGCCCGCCCGCCCCCATTTTTATTGTTAATCTGCTGCTTTCTCAGGGTGCTGGCTCTCTGAATAAAGCACAACTTAAAGATGGAACTCCCGCCAGGCATGGTAGCCCATGCCTTTAGTCCCAGCAGAGGCAGGTGGATCTCTGTGAGTTCAAGGCCAGCCTGGTCTACATAGTGAGATCCAGGCCAGCTGGGGCTAAAGGGAGAACCTGTCTCAAAAAGACCAAAAAAAAAAAAAAAAAAAAAGACGGAATTCCTGTTGCTCTTGGTTTGGCATCTGTAGGCCACAGGCCTCACCAGTACTGGCATTCAACATTCAATTACAGAGCCTGGTACTGCTCCAGGATGACTTTGCAACTCCCTGGTAAATCACTAAGGTGAGGAGGCGTTTTGCTTGTTGACTGCCTGGCCTGGTGGTGGGGTGGCGGCTCTGGGGTTCTGGGCTGGGACACACCCTAGCCTCAACACGATTTCACTTGGTTCGTTCCTCTTCCCTGCTCCCTGGCACGCTCCCTCACATTCGCCTAAGAAATGGAATCATGCTGTGCTTTCTGGCTGGTTCTGGGTTAGGGCTTGTTTTACTTCTGGTGTATAAGTGCTTTCTGGCCCATTCTTATTCCCAGGTTATGGCCTGTTTGACTTCTTGGTTTTTTTTTAATGATTTATTTATTTTTTATTTATGTGCATTATGTGTGAGCCTGTGTGAGGATACCTGCACCACATGCAGGAACCCAAAGAGGCCAGAAGGGAGGGAGCATTAGTTGCCCTGGAACAGACAGTTGTGAAGTGAATGTGGGTGTTGGGAACTGCAAGAGCAGTAAGTGTTCTTAACTGCTGAGCCATCTCTCCAGTCCCTCACCTCTGATTTAAAAGTAGCTTTGTTCTGTACAGTCCTACCTGGTTTCTTTCAGAGCTCTGGCTGATAGAAGAGGTGTCACAGCCTCCATCCCTGAACAGTCCCTTGGGGCATGTTCTGGTCTGTGTTTGGAGAAAATAAAGGCAGCTCCTTGCCTCCCCCCGATTCCCCAGTTCTTCAGGGAGTGAATGCCTCGATAATGTGCAAGGATTTTTGGCTCTCTTCAGACTGCCTTTTTGATTTCTTCAAGATAATTTTCTGTCCAAGGTCATTGAAAGTTCTGTTACCTTGGCCAGCTATCGCTGCAGTGTTACGTTCTGTAACTCCCAGATTTTTGTAAGACCTGAACTGGCTCAGCAAACTTCCCTAAGTTACTCCATTTTGTTCAGAGCCATTTCAGCAGCAACTTTGCTCCACACCGAAAGGAAAAGGGGGGCAACCTTGGGCCTTGGAAAATTGCCCTCGCCATGAATCATGGAATGCGATAATTCCAGATATTATATTTTCACTAACCAGCTTGTTTTCACTTCTATAACCTGCTTGCTGTCTTGGGTCGCCCTGACACAGGCCATGAGACCACCTTGTTATCCTGTTATTGTATGACCACCTAGAAGTTATTTACCTTGACTGTCTTATTTTACTTGTTATGACTAAAACAGTGGGCTAGTTTTTAATGTTACAAAGTTGACTGCCAAGTTATATGATTGCATCACTTGTCTGTACAATGATTGGTTGTTAATTAATAGAATCAAAATTCTGCTAGGTTGTACAAACCTGATTGGTTCACAAATGTCCTGTTTTAATAATAATTCTGTAATCCTATAAAAACTCTGACCTGACAATCACCAGGGCTGCTTCTACTCCCGAGATAGACAGCCCGGCTGGTCGAAAATTAAAATTTACCTTGCTACTTTTCTTAAAGTGGTGTTGGTGATTTTTTACAAACCTGTCCTATAACATTTGGAAGTTCCACCGAGATCCGGAGGACTTCTGGGCCCGGCAGCTTCGGAAAACTCCCTGAGAAGGGAGCTGTCTGGCAGTATTCTGAGGAATCCCCAGGAGGGGACCTGCATCAGCCTCGGCTGTCAGACAGTACCACAAACTCCCTGCAAGGGGGCTTGCATCAGTCCTGGCTGCTTCTGCTTCCCCAGTCAGACCTCCGGTTTCTTCCCCCCCCCCAACACCACCGGCAAGGTAAGAGAGCGCTTGGGAAACCACTTTTGTTTTGCGTTTCTCTCCTGGTTTTGGCTAGCCGGCGATCTGTCGCCATCTGGTTCTGGGCTCTGATCAGAGAAACTAGGTGGGAAGCTGGACGCAGCAAATCTCCCCCTAGTCGGGTTCCGGAGGAGACGTCCCTGGACCCGCCTGGCCTCTGAGCCCAAAAACTTGTCTTTTGGGACCTGGATTTGACGGCAATCTGGTTGATGTTATTTGTCTGTGCTTGTCTTGTTCTGTGTTTTGGTCTTGTATCTGTGTTTGTCATGGGTGCCTGTGATGAGATCTCAAGTAATTCTGTCATGTATGCCTATGATTATTGTCTTCATACGTTTCCATCAAAAACCCTAAATATCTTTATTTTATTGGCTGAACTGGTTGTTTAAGGCCCTTATTTGTTGCATACCTTTTGGTTTGGGTTTGCTTTCATAATATCTCTTTGGTTTGCTCGCTTTGGAAGTTATTTTGGGTTTGACATTCTTGGTCTGGTTTATATTGCTTTCAGACCTCTAAAGGCTTGAAAATGGTTTGAGAAAATTAAACTGTTGGTTATAGGTTTGATCTAATATGTTAACTCATCTTCATTGCTGGAAATAACTTCTGGGACTGGTCTTCCTATCTCATCCTTTTGGCCTTGTCCTTTTCCCTCTGTTCCCTGCAGCACTGCTCAGTGTGCAGGCAGATACGGTCTGTTCGGAGACGGACGCTTTTCGTCCTTGGAAACTCTGCTGGCTCAGATATGACTCTGTGCTTTTCTCCCTTGGAACAAGAAAAATCAGTCTTGGTTTTAAAACTGGTTTGTTATAACATTATGTCTAACCATAGTATTTATTATATGAGACCATTATAAATGTATAGACATGTTTAATACTAAGAGAACTATTATTAAATAATTAACTAGATATCAAATTCTAAGTAAAACATCTCTAAACTTTTAAAGGAGACTTGGTTGTTTGAAACCTGCTTCAAGGCTTACAAGGGCATCTCAAAGTTTATACAGTATAATAATATATTTAGATTAATTGTTCATATATATGAACAATTGTTCATATAAAATATTAATTACTTGGTAAATTTGTTTATAAATGTTATTAAAAGAATTTATTAAAGTCTAAACAGGG